AAGTCAACATATGTACTAATGTGCTGGACACAAATGATGTATGTACAGATTGTGATGGGTTGTATGAGCCCCTAATACAATGATTATTTCAGCACATTTTTAATGCAGTTTTTGTGGTAAAATTAGGTGCCTCGGCGAATATTCAGGTTGGCTTATATTCGAGTATATACGGTAAGTGAGATATAAGACCACCTAAACAGGAATTAAAACAGAGGGTGGGCCAGAGCCGGTTCTGCCATAATCAGACCCTGATGCTTCTCTGGGCCGAGGAGGAGCCGGCTGTGACGAAGGCAGGGGACGCTGCCTTCTTATTTAGTGGGGAAAAGTCCTCAGTGAAAGTCTGGCTAAGCAGTGGTTCTCTACCTTCCTCAGGCCGCAACCCTTTCATACAGGTCCTCATGTGGTGGTGACCCCCCAACCATAACATTATTTTCATTGCTACTTCATCACTGTCATTTTGCTACTGTTATGAATCATCATGTAAATATCTGATAGTCAGGATGTATCTTAATTGTTACAAATGGAACATCATTAAAGCATAGTGATTCATCACAAAACCATTCTATATTGTAAGCTATTTATTTCTAATGACAAATCAATGGAATTTTGTCTTGAAGCATGGCGTAGCATGGGTAACAGTTTTCACTGAGTACAGTTTCAGGTACTCACATGTGGGCATACCAGCTGGAGACAGAGAGAGTAGCGGTGTCTTGGTTCTCAAGGCCATTGGAAATCATGTGTTTTCCAATGGTCTTAGGCGACCCCTGTGAAAGGGCCGTTCAACCCCCAAAGGGGTCGCGACCCACAGGTTGAGAACGGCCGCTTTAGGCAATAGTCATTGTGTGTGATAGATTAGAAACTGCCACTTCTCTTCTCTAAACATATTGTGTTCATCTTTGCAAAACTTTCCACTTCTGCTGAACTTAACACACGTTCTGGCAATATTTTTAGCTCTTTAAACGCTTTCAGGAATGGAATAATCCACCCATAATACCTCGGGGGGATGTAGGGTGTAACCCAAAGCTGCCGCGAACCAGTCTCAGCCTCTGGCTGTTTGACACATTTTCTCTTGACCTATATGTTTGTTTACTGAAGTAACAAGTGCAAGGGCATAAACATGTAGTCTTTCAAAAAGCACGAGTTTTCCGAAATGAATGAATTGATATTACAAGCAGAGTTCCCTCACTTTTTGAATCCTACGGACGAATGCACATTGCTATGTGGTTGCCCATGTGAACGTCACGGAAGAGTGAAGCCTGTCCATCTGGGATTCCCACCCTGCGCCCCGCCCAGCCGCCCACCTCAGAGAAAACCCTGACGACAAGCGCCAGCCTGTCCCTCGGACTCAACAGAACATCAGCTATCAGTTCTGCCAACGAGCAGCCTCTCAGTCTCCATTGTCCGAAGTGATTCTTCACTCCCGGCGGGCTGCTGTGCAGAGACTGAACGCCAAACTCGGGGTGGGGTGGGGGTGTCATCTTGTCCAGTGAAGGGGAAGTTCTCGTCCTCCCTCACCCAGGTCTCTGACTGGCACGTTTTATAAACAGAGGTTTTGTCAGGTTTCATGGTTTGTGTGCTTTTAAAAGTTTATTTTCCTGGGAAATTGTCAACCTTTTCAAACACCGGTCTCTGGGGACTCCTGGACGCCGTGGCAACCTCACTCCATCTTTCTGGAATGTTGTGTCCTCCCAGAGGGGCTGGGGGAGCGGCCCTGTGGGGAGGCAAGGAGAGGAGCTGGAGGCTGGAGATGGGAGCTGCTGCGGGGAGCCCTCCTTCGTGGGGACTCAGGAAAGGGTCTGAGCAGGTGCAGTCAGAGGGAGAGGAAGCACACCGAGTGTTGGGACCCCCCTCTCGGCATAGGTCGGTGAGATCGTCAGCAATGGAATCGTGTCCTAAAAAACCAGGTGCTGTAACTCATCACCCTTCTCTGGGTGGGCGTGACCCCATTGGGAAGAGGGGTGTCCTTGTGACGGGAATGAGACCACCCAATTAACAAAACCATCACCGTGGAGTAGGGAAGAACAGATCTGGCAGAGATGCCAACACACCGAGACGCGGAGGAGGGAGATGCTGGGCCATATGATAATGGCCAAGGAGCTGGCCAGAGACGAGGTCGGTCCCTAGAGTCAGGGCTCTGAAGTCGATGGCTCCCTTTCTGAACTGTCCGAAAATAAGTGTCTGTCTGTAAAGT